AGTGTTTGTCTTTTAATTAAAAAAAATATAGGAATAAATAATGTTAGCATAAGATGAAAGAAACAAAAATGTGATCTTTTGATTCACAACATATTATTTTGCATAATTTACTTGAAAATAGAAATATAATGAATGAATTTTAAAATTAGTTTTAAAAAAAAAAACAGAGGCCTTTCTTGGCTAGCTGTCTTGAAGTTTTTTGCTAACATTATAAATCAATTATCAAAAGAGTGATAGTTGATATTAATCCATTTGTTTGTAGTTAATAAAGAGTAATTTCCTCATTTATCAACTATTTTCTATAAATTAGCAGGAGTTGAGGTAGAGTTTGATTTACGTATAAGATCATGATCCGCGTTCTAATTACTATAATTTAAAATTAGAGGTGCTTTCTAAGTTAGTAGGAGACGAGGTAAAAAGTAAAAATTTCGAACGTCAAGGTATGGTGATTTATATATAAGGTCATGATCCACGTTCTAATTGCTGCAACATCTATAAATTGAAGGTGGTTTACGAGATGAGGTAGAGTTGGAAAGTTTTTGAATGATAAATAGTGATGATTTTTATATAAGGACATGATTTACACTCCAATCGTTGCAACAACTATACATTCGAGATGGTTTTCAAATTAGTACGAGACGAGGGTAGAGTTAATAGAAATTTGACCAGTAAGGAATAAAGAATGACGTTTTATATTTGATACGGTTATGATCCACACTTCAATTACTGCAAGTGACACATTTTAAAGCTGTGTAGACTTAGATCCAGAACAAACAATAACTATTACTGTTAAATAGTTTTTGAACGATCAAGGCATAGTAATTTATATAATATAGTAATATAATATAATTATTTATTTTTTTAAGAAAAAAATAATAAAAAAAGAATGTTGGCAAATCAAAGAGATTCTGTGAGTTGAAAAAGGATCTAATCAGAGGAAACGTCATACAAAAGATTTATTTTTGTATACCATATGTTATAAAGTCAATGAGCATTTTAGTACCTTTTTTTTTATTTATTATTATTATTAATATTATATATAACTAATATAGATGGGCCCACCTTAACTCTTTTAGATATGACATGGCGTCTTGTCATTTGCTGATGTTATCCCAGTCATATTATTGTGATTTTACAATATTTAACTAAATCCCAATCGCTTAAAGAAAATTTCATATCGGCCATTGATGTATTTAATTATTATTGTGATTTTACAATATTTATTTAACAATCGCGTAAAAAGAAATATTTATGATATTTGATAGGAAATGATTTATCTTAGAGTAAGATTTATCAAAATTTGAATTTGAAATACTCGAGTTTTAGTTATTTAAATTTTACACTTGCATCAAGTATCATTTTACCTTTGAAATAGGGCTTTTTGATGGCAACAATTCAAATTATTTGAATCTCCTTTTCTTAATTTTTTAAACCGCGTTTATTATACAAGTGTCGGAGAACCTTAGTGGAACATTGCAAATAAGAACTAAACAAAGAGATGTTTATATGAGAATCTTAATTTATCTTAACTTACAATAAGCAAATGATCACGCTAACATGCGGAGTTAAGTAAAAGTTCGTGAGTTTGAAAGAATTCAAAATTTTTTTGTTATAAATACCGTAATTAAACCTTAATCGGAACAAACATGAGATTTTATAGCTTGTATATAGATAACTAAAGGAGGTGTTATGTTTTAATTGATTAAATTATCTACATGATGTGCACTTGAGAGTTGGCACATTTTAAATATTAAGTTAGTTCGAATCGAAAAATGTTTAATAGAAACATTTTATTATGTGTTCAACTGCTAAATTAAAATAAGAAAAACTACATAATTAGACATACTTCACTATTATATATATTATTATTCTCTATGCTTTCAAAATATTACGTATCTTTTCACTAATTTAGAGCTTCCTACCATATATTGAAGAAAATACACTTGGATATATGAATTTTTGCTACTGGATACACAAAAATAGGAAGAGAATCAAGCTAGATTGGAAAGGGAGCCAAGCAAGATCCGTATGTATTTCACATACATGCGAATGACACTAGATACACACTTATTACTTTAAAGAAATTGGATTAGCGATGGACAATTTTTTTAGCTAAAAAACATAATCCGTTGCTTCTCCCACTTACCGACATATTTTCATTAGCTACGAGCAATATAACGACAGACCAACGACGAAGTTTGTAGCTAATTTCAGTATTTTCTTAGCAGTGATTAGGTACATATATTTGTAAGTATATTGTGTGATTTGCATATATCTGGAATATCATATACATGAGAGAGTCACAAGCGTGGTAAAATGGAGACGAGCAAGATTTGTTATGTACCCCATCATACATATCCGCTTGAATACAATTTATCTATAACAAATTATATCTAATTTTAATTTCATGTATTTGAGAAACATTTATCTAAAGACCAAAAACATCAAAATTTGGTAAGATATATAATATTTCAAACTAAGTGTATCTAAATAAACATATTTTGAGTGTATAAATATTTTTTTAATGACACAGTTAATTAAGACACATTTGATGTATTAAGTCAATAATTAAATACTGTGTATTACAAAACCTAAATTCATTTATTATTTCATTAAGTGCAATAAAAACAAGAACTCTACATTTCAACACCATTTCCCCATACAAATAATTAATTAAATATGAAACCAAAGGAAATGATTATTTTTTTTGGAAGTATACCTAAATATACATATTTTTGACCTTTTATCTCCCCTAGTCAATTTTCTTCATTTCTTATCCAAGAGATTTTCAAATTATGTTGATCTTTATTCATCATCATCATCATTTTCTGAATATATCTAGGATTTTGCAGGTCACTTCATTGAAATATATCATAATTTTTTTAATTTTTTAATTTTACAGAACAAGTCAAACTAGAAGCTAATAAATACAGAAGCACATAGGCTATGATGACTGTAAAACAAAAAATGTCCTTATTATATATATATACAGACATACAATTGGCCAAAATCTTCCAATAAATAATTAATTATCCATTCCCATCACTCAGAAATGATGGCAAATTTTATTGCTTTTTTTCTTATTTAATATATTTGATGAATTTTTCTAATTTTTTTTATTTATTGTATAGTTTTGAAAACTTAGGTCATCTTTGGTTGAGAAGATCTTGGTCATCAGAAACTATATCTAAAAGGCATCATTTCTTTCTCCTAAAACCATCTTTTTTCAAACAATAAAAAAAATGAAATAATAATAACCAAGACTCCAAGAGTCTTAACATACGAGAGTCGTTCGAAAACAACCACGATCTTTCACGAGATAGGAACATAGGCACTTTGTTCTCCCCATATTCCACCCGTGTATATTGAATATGTTGTTGTTTTAGTCTTATATTAGGGTTGCGTATTAGTCAGTTTAGTTAGGCTTTAAAGTTTAAGTCTTATATTAGGGTTGCGTATTAGTCAGTTCAATTAGGCTTTAAAGTTTATTGATTTGGTTATTGATTATCAATTTGTAAAGATGCTAAACCGTTATTAAGATACTGGCTTATTGGTTATTAGTTTATCGATTTTGATCATTATTGGTGCAGTTATCGATTTAACCGTTAAAATTTTGACCAAAAAAAATAATTGAAAACCACTTAAAAACAAGGTGACAAACCAAATAAACCATGCATATGAGTTCTAAGTTACATCTTGCTCAAAAGCAAACATTTGTACATTGTAGAATAACCAAGTGTTTGAGACAATAAAAAATAAAAGTAGGAAACCAAACTCTAAGTTAGGGACTTTATATACAAAATGGTATAAATATAATTATTTAATTTATAATCAGGTTAACCCGTCAAACCGTTAAAAATTGATAACCCGACAATAAAAAAAATCAAAACCGTTATCAAATCACTAAATCAATAATCCAATACCGATAAATTAATAACTTTTTTTCTATTTGAATTATAAATTTCGATTTGTTTTGAGCAGCCCTATCTCGTATACACGCATACATATCTCTTTTGAGCTAAAAAAAAAATACATTAATGATCTATGGATTAAAGATGCTATTAATCCTAATTTATTCCAAAGTCTCAAAAATATTTTTTTATTTTTATGAGAGGATAATATTTATGCACACTTTACATTTTTTAAACGCCACTGAATATGTAATTGTTATAGTCTTTTACACGCATACGTATACCTAATAATTAATGAAAGGGAAACATATATTTTTCTTCTTTCAATTTATGAGTACTCATTGATTATTTTGTTGAATGAATTTTCATTGGTATGGGGCGATCTTGTTAAAAAGTCAAGCTTGAAATTAAGTACGTATTTCTCCATCACTTCAAACATGTCCTTCCTCCTCCAAAATTTTCCAATATTAATAATTATATTTTTGTAATCATGATATCTGAATCAATTAACACACGCATCTTCATTAATCAATTTCATACTCGAAACAAATGAGAGAACCTGTCTTGAAATTCGACTAAATTCGAATTCACGTTGAGAGGTAAAACCTAACAAAGATGACTTGTAGTCCATTCACACTCCCCATCTTGAAATACACCAGTCTTTACACCTCCTTGTGTCTACGCTAGCTTAAATGCACCTCGACTATTACGCTAGATTCCTGTTACTCCTCACTAACTAAATTAAAAAACAAACTATATATCAATCAAATATCTCAAACTTAAAGATTTTCATAGGACAAGATAATGCTTGCTAAACAAAAGGTCTAAACGAAAAAATAAAATACGAATACCATCGAAAATGAAAATAAATTTCCATCTTACTAATGTTACATATTGGATTAAGGTGTTCTTTTTTTAGCCTTGATAAATCTTCTAGGAGTTGAGAAGCTTAGCTCCAACTACAATATCTATGCCAACACATGCAATTGTCTGTTGTTGCATTGTACAAATGAGGACTGGTGAGTGGAAAAAGAAACCAGATGAAACCTAGCAACCCAGCTACAGATGCCACTGTTACCATTCCTAACAACCATAAAAGAGGAAAAACAAAAATTATCATTAATATGTTTTAAGGAAAGTAGGCCAAAATCTAAAAATTGTTATCTGATGGAGGGAAATTCGGGTCCGAGTCAATATGTGTGTGCATCTTAATGATTTTATCAGGTAACTGCTACCTCCCACCATCACAAGCATCGGGTAATGCAGATGGAAAATAATCGGGCTAGGACTGATATGTAACTTAACATACTTGGTTTGGTGATAAAGATGCTAGAGACCTCGAAGGACATCTGGCAGAAGTTCTACCACCCGGGGGCACAACTACGGGTTTCCTAAGAGGGGATGAGGTTAGTTGAACACTCTTCGGAAATTATATTGTGTATATAACTCAAATATTGTTTGTAAGTAGATACTAAATATTTAGCATTCTTGAACATACTTGGGAAATTCCTGGCTTCGCCGTAGATAACACCTATTGGAGGAATTTTTGGAATGCATATATCATATTCATGCATTTTAGTTAAATGTAGAAAATTATTCTTCATAAAACTTCTTTTCTTAATGCAATCTATTATATTATCTTGAAGTCTGCATAAAACTTCTTTTCTTGGAAGAGACAACTGCTGTATTTGTATGATTGATGCCACACACGTAATTATATTCTCATCTACTATGAGCAAAATCCTAATTTGAAGTCATACTGTAACCTTACCAAACGCACTCGGATGAATCAAAGGAATACGAACTTAGTGAAACTCCATAGCTGATTGCCATATACATCGACGTTTTTAACCCGACTTACTATACAGTCTACACGTTACATTTACACTAGCATCATGCATGATCATCTTCTACCCTTCCCATTCCCAAACCCTTTATAGACAGTTGAATTCAGGTAGTGAAAAGAATGACATACCTGTCCTCCGTGATATTATTACAGGTATGCCAAAATAGTTGCAAAAAATATGAGCAACTAGTGGAGCGGTAAGATGCCCTGCAGTAAATATATGCATAGAAATGTCAAAAGCATTGAATACTAGATAATTATATAAAAGATAGACCAAAAATAGAACGAGGAGAGAAAACTCATTGCCAAGGGCTGCTATTGTGACAAAATAGAGATTCATCACATGCTAAATTGGTACTCAATGCTGTCAGACTTGGTACATTGGAGATCAAATTAAGACACGGAAATTTACATTCACAAGGAAACAAACAAGAAAAATTGTAAAACTAGAGTTCAAGGACTTCAAAGAAACAATTCTTCAGACATTAGCAGATTAAGCATTTAAGCACTAAAAATTTGGATTGAGCACATAAACCTCCACTCATCCTCCATCAACTGACAGCAGCCCCGCTCTCCCTACTGCGCGTGCAGGGCCTCAAGTAGTGAACTGGTATTTGTTGTACTTCTTACTTTTTCTTTGGGGGAGGAGGGGAGGAACTAACAATCTTAAAGGGATTTCCAAACATTTTCCAAAAGACAAACTATTGTGGTACAAAGAGGAGATTCACAAACGTTTGTGGGGGGGAAGGGGGGGGGGGCATTGCACCTTCTAGTCTCCACCCTCTTCTGAATTCACCCAGTAGTGGAGCATGGAGCCTCAGAGAAGAAGTTTGGAACAGTAATGGAGGGACCATAGTTCAAAATATTTCAAGCCTTAATTTCTTATTCAGGGTCAAGAAATTCTAGAACAAAAAGTAATAGGATGTTAATAAGTACTCAAAAAAACTACAGTTTCAAGCCAAAGATATGCTAAGCAACACCGCATTCTTAAAAGTTCTTAAAAAAGCCGTCTCCACCCCAAACCCCATAGATAAAAGAAGAGATTAAAAGAATATTGGATAAAGGGAGAAAGAAGATTTTCCATATGACTAAAGCAGAGTGTAAGCATCGCTAACCTGTCCGAACAAAGAGAAATGAAGCATAGGATCCAAAGATGACTGTGTAGCCGACCTGGAAGCCTGAAAACATAAAAGTCATGTCCGAATGCAAAATAAAATATCACTTTGCTCTATGGTGCGAAAATGCAAAGCTTCTTAATCCATCCAAATATATGGAGAAAGAAAGAAATTGTAGATGTTAAGGTAGAATCTCAACTTTAACCTACACTCTTAAGGCCAATTGCCAAGCTTGATTGTTCAGTTGGCATTTTTATTCCCCTGTAAACAGTGTTGACAATTTTCTGGATTTTATTAGCTCCCTGACTCTATCATAGATACTCTTCTGGAGCTAACTTTTTGTTATCTTTTGTAGTTGTGCATCCTCTTGATGCCTTTATCAATAACAATTACTTCTCTGATCTCTCCCCTAAGTGGTTAAAGGTTTGGAAAAATGATATGAGCCAGCTTCTCTCTGGTGATCCATCTGCTTGAGCTTTGCCCATACATATCGAGGTGCGTAGCATAATTCGATATATTCAAAACAGAGTGGATTTGCTGATCAATATGCGACTGAAGAAGCCCGGTTTTGTAAGATACCATCAGTCACATTCAGTGCCCTTTCTTTGACTTCAAATTTTGTGACCAACAATGAAGCACTGTTTTGATCCAATAGGCTATGTGGCTTAGTTCTACGTTGATCACCTATAATAATTACTCACAGAAAACTAAAAAGAAAGACGGAAAGCGTCTGAGTGGCGGGGAAGGCAGAAGAAAAATTAATCAAAGGAGGTAGAAGGATTCAGAGACAAGAAGGAGAACATGACTTGGAATTTCCAGGGAGTAGAGAGTAAGCCGTAAGGGGAAAATTTTCATATAATTCTTGCAAAATTTGGACCGTCTTCCTTGTGAACTGACAAGCTTTATTAACCCAAACTTTGATTCTATATTAACATATTATAATTGTTTGGGAGTGCCATGCAACTTTGATGCTATTTTAACATATTATAGTTGTTTGGGAGTGCCATGCCATATATGCATGCAAGCTAAATATCACTATGCCCCATGTGATAAAAATGCAAAATTGCTCAACCAGTCCAAATAAATAGAGAAAGAAGAACGTAGAAAACTTAGGCTTTATCCACGCTCAAGATTTGATGCAGTTGCTCCCACTACAATATATTACTTTTTCCAGGAGTTGCTCACTCTAATAGAAACTCAAACATAAATCCCATGGCACTCGTCCCAGTGAAAACATCATATAATGGTCCAATCATATTAGACTTCTGATGTAGAAACATTACATGTGGAGAAAAAGATCATACCTACAATCATAAGAGCTTTAAGCCAGCTGCCGCTTCGTTGAGCATACTCTAACAAGTGATTTAAATGAGCTGCAAGCAGATAACAAACAGTTGCTCAGGATGAGGTAATGAAAAAGAAAACTATCCATAGTTTCAATCGAAGTAGCACGTTTCCTCTTTAAGTCTAAAAAGTTAGCAAATATAAAACAAACAAGGAATTTCCGTACCGGTTTCTAGCACATTTCATCTTTAAGTCCAAAAGTTAACAAATATAAAACAAATAAGGAATTTCCGGACCATTATTACTGCAATATTATCAGTTTCAGTTCACCGACAGCATGTTTTAAACAATAATAGTATTTCTAATGCCAAACATAGTTGCGGAAGTACTTTTTTTCAGGTTTTTGTGAATGAATTCCTCAATTTACTAAAATCGATATCAGTCAAAAAGTTACTGAAGTCATTATGGGCATTGTAGATACTTTGATCTCAAGACCAATATTAGCTAATACAATACCTCTCTGTTACTCATTACTTGGAAACTATTCACATGTATTTCTGTTATATTCATTGTTAGTTCTGAATACTCCATGTGCACTTGCTTCAGTTAAAATTCACCTGATTAATCGCCTAACTGAATTCTTTGAGTAAGATATTATTTAATTTCACTAAATACATGAATTTACAGTTTTAACTAATGTTTTAGAGTCTCTCTGTTTCATAGGACCAATCTATCAATTATCATAGTGATGTAATTTCCTAATTTTATGAAAATATATTTCCATTGTCTATGTTGAAATGCGCAGTCGCATTGTCTCCATGCAAAAATAGGAGAGTAGCTTAGCTTGTGTTTCTTCCAATTATATCTATGTCACACCTGAGTGTGCCAGTTAGTCACTATCGAGATCGGATCACAGGACCATAACAACTAGAATGCAAAAGCTTTTAGTTTCTTTCTTAGCAGGAAATATGATTACAACTTATAAGCATAAAACTGATTAGACATGTAATATTACCAAGAAAATTCAATATCATACTTCCGGGAAGACATATATCTTGAACTCTTAAATCCTAAATATATATTCAAGTCAAACTCATATTTCTAGAAAGTTTTATCTGGAAATGAAATTCTTGTAGCTTGTACTTACCTAAACTGAAAAATATAGGACAGAGAAACACCACTGTATAGGTGTTGAATCCTCCACAAAGAAGCAAAGGTATCATACAGGCTCTAAATACCAGCTCTTCTGTGAGTGGGGCCTGTTAAAAAGGACATTTTCCAAACAAGATTTAAGTACAAAACATATTTTCACGTTTATAAATCATAGCTTCTAGAGATTTTTCTTTCACATGAATAAGGAGAAAATGCACACCATGTAATTTCTTTTTTGAAAGAAACACAAGGTTTACTTCAACATGTTGCAGCAAATTGGAAATATCTTCATAGAGAACCTCAAGTATTTCCAACTCCAATATGATAACCCACTCAGGCTTTATCTTTGCCAAAGACACTAGTGTAAATCAGATAAACCAAAAGAAAGTTGATGGAGTACATAATATTTACTTCAAAGAGATTAATAACAAGAAGACTTTGATCTTTCCCTCCAAAGTCGCCTGCTTTGGATGGATGGCAGCACATGAAGCATGTCTTATGCAAAGAAGGGCATTTAGCTTGTGTTGATGGTGTTATTTGTGCAAAGAACAATAAATCATCTTCTATTACACTGCAAATTTGTATGTGAGTTTGGTGCATGTTTCTTAACTTGTATGGGATTCAAAGGGCCATGCCAGCAAATGTGGAACAACTGCAAAGCAGTTGATAAAGTCAGAGAATGAAGAAAGTATTTAGAGGACTGTTCCATTTATCATATTCTGGAATGTTCGGCTCGAGAGGAACAAAAGATGTTTTGAAAGGAAGCGAACTCTTTGTTGTTGAAGTATAGATGCATTCATAGCATAAAAAATGGCGCAATGCTGAATTTTCGAATGATCTTGATGTGTTATGGACTCCATACAGCATTAGCGGATTCCTATCTAGTTTTGTTGTACTCTCTCTCAGTAAGTTCCTGATACTGAGTTTATTATTAATGATACATTACTCATCAAAAAAAAGAAAGAAACAGAAGCCTTGTTATATTTCTAGTTTGAAGTTGTCATATTAAACATACGAAAACGCATCTGTATATATACCAAATATGCGGGGAGATGGTGGCATGAAAGCTATTACAAAAGTGAGTTAGTAATAACAGAAGTTTGAGGGTATTATTGATCTCGTAACCACGAAATAGAAGGATTCAAGTAAATCTTGATCATAATACAAAGATCAGATAACAAGGTGAACAGAGAAGGTAACCAGCTTAATATTCTAGTAAGGTTACTCACCACAATAAAATTACGCCATGCTGAAATATCAGACGCCATTGAAGAGACTGATTCAATAAATTCATGGACAACATTTTTAATACTGTCAAGTGACAAGCTTCTTCCATTTCCCCCATCTTCTTGGCCCGAGTCTAGCAACAATAACACCTTGAGGATGAAGGTGCCAGCGTACATTAAGGAAGTCAATGTAAGAGGAAAGACGACAGCTTGCCACTGTTTTAAACATAAAATTGCATTTCAGCAATCAGTCACCCTTTCTCAATCTGCGAGTCATAAAAGAGCAGAACTTGATAACAACCACATGCAAAGCATTGTCGCATGCAAAAAAAACTAATCCAGCACAGATATGATACTTACGATATGATCCAATCTGATGCCATAAACACCTGAAAGGTGAGATTTACCCCACTGAATCTGAAAGATTGAAAAATTGTATTAGACTCAGAATACAAGAGGAAGTTACTAGTAAAGTACTCTTTGCAGAGAAGCTCCAAAACCAATAATTCGTTCATAGATGAATGTAAAACTAATATAAGTCCTTGCTTCCAGCAAATGGTTTATTTCCCGTTTGCTATAGATTTTGAAGTTGAAACTTTAAACTTTAAACTTAAAAAATGAGTTTTCAAAGTGATTTTACAATTTGGAGTTGTGTTTGGATTTGCATTTTACTTGGAAAAAGTTTGAAGTTTTGTCCGAGGAAGTCGCCAAAACAAAAAAAGACTGGTGTGACCCATTCTTTGGGACGTCAAAATATTTAAAGAACAGATTTTAATCATGGCCAAACAGATATCAGATAAATTTTCAAAAACAACTTTCAAAATCAATGTCCAAATGCTAGCAAAGTATTTCGTATAAGAGGTGCATAAGAGATGATACATATTCTAACTGAGAATTAAAATGGAAATATACACATACATACAAAGAGAATCAGAATGCTCAGAGGAGACATCATGCTCCTACTTTAGCATCTTTTAACACTTCGCTTTGCTAAACTAAATAAGCTAGATTTCTCATATGCTCACTCAATTAATAGTTTAAAAAACCAAAAAATCCGAAAAGTCCACAACAAGCATGAGTTTCTGAGATAATAATTATTAGTTGTATTAACAAAATTACTCCGATCCTGTAACATAGCAACACAGAAAACGATATATTGAGCAACAGCAAAAAAAAAATTCAATCAAAGGTCAGAAAATGCTATAAAATTAGTACATGATGAAGGAATCTTACAGGGAGGAGAAGAGAGCAAGCAATAAGTGAGGTAACAGATGAAATTGCAGCGCATATGAACCGTCGAATCAAATACGATTGAAACGAATCTGGCGGCGGTAATCGGAGAATCAACGTCGGAGCATATAAGATCGCAACATACAAAATTGCCATCGCAGTGCACGCAATCACTGCAAGCGATTTCGACACATCACCACCGCCGTCTCCGCCGCCGATGAATGCTACTTCCATCGTCGCCGGATTTTCAGACGGATTTATTAGCAAATAATAATAATAATACATAAATTACAACACAAATTCGTTAAACAAAAAACACTGCTAAATAGTTTTATATTTTTGCTTTGATGGAAGAAATTAGTATTTTTATTTTAGCATGGGTAGTTTCGTCAATTACAACTTATAAGTTTGATTTTCGATGTAATCATTACGTAACTTAGATTATTATTATATTAAAACTAGTATAATAAAAACAATATATCACTTTAAATTTTTTAATCTAAAAATCATATGAAAAAATCTTAAAATATATGGTAAGATTTTATAGGCTAGATAAACGTTAAATTGTTTTATGAAAATGAGAATTATACGAGAAAATTATTAAATTCGAGTCTAATATTATCTAATAAGATGATTTTTAAGAGCTAATTTTTTAAAACAAAAACAAAATCTAAATATTGATCTAAAGAAAAGAAACAACAACAATATTACAAATAAACTCAATATAATTCTATAAGTGATAAAATAATAATTCTATAAGTTACATATGAAAATTATACGTGGTGCATACATAACCTTATTTGTACGTTGTGAAAGTAAACAGATTGTTTTCGATGACCCGAGAAAGGACATAATGGGTAAACCGGCCCAAATTCTCAACCCCATAGCCCATAGATAATAGGGGACGCAATAGGCCCAAATATAAAATACCTAACCCAATCAGTTTTACTGATCCCAGTAGAAATTAGGGTTTCTTCTCTCCGTCGCCGTTGATACGGTTGTTGCCGGTGGTGCTCCGACAGTTCAGTAATTCCCGTCGGAATTCTCGTTCTATCTAGGTAAGTTTTTGCCTTAATTTTTTCTTAAGTTTATAGAGATTAGAGATATGATTTGGAAAAATTCAATCTTTAGTTGTTCTAGTTCGCCTTTGAAGTTCTGATTTTTACTTATGATTTCTGAACTTTTATATGCTTTGTTTTCTTTCATTATTGCATTGTTGTTGCTGAGTATTAACTACTTAATTGTTTCATGTTGTTTTAATTTTGTGCTTGTTTCCTGTTATTTTTGAACAATTTATTTTATGTCTCCTAGTCGAATATTCTGCTGTTTCAATCTCTTCTTGCTCGTTAGTTGTTTTTCTGTCCTTTGAATAATTTCTCGTTTAATTGTGTGCTCGTTTATCGTTTTGGTCTCCTTGTTTGTTTAATTGTGTACTCCTTAGTTGTTTTTGTCTCCTTGTTTGTTGAATTGTGTGCTCGTTAGTCGTTTCAACTGATGGAGCCCTTCAGCGCTGTAACACCCCTTGCATCCTGATCACGGTCTTCATATAATTTTGCTGATATTGTGGCCTTGACCTCTCTTCATTCCTTCCCTTCCTTTTGTGTCAAGATCATATTGGGGTTTTTCACCCAATGGTGAAGCTTAATGATCAATGACGTGTGTTGAGCACGATGAGGGTCTTGTATTCAAATTCGGTTGGTATAAAACACTAGTTGGTTTCTTCTCATCTATTTTAGCCTTGGTAGATATAATTGCCTTGCACTATAATGTGCGCTATAATGCCCCTTGCTTCATGATTGCAGTCCTTTTTGGTCTGTTATAATGCTGGGGTAGTGTCCTTGACCTCTCTTTCTTCCCTTTTGAGTTGTGTCAAGATCATCTTGGTTTGCTTTTGCACCCGTGGGTTGGCTTAGTTGTCAATGAATTGGGTAGTGCACTATGAGATTTCAATTTCAAATCCCAACAGAGACAAAATATTAGTTGATTTTATCCATTTGTTCTAGCCATGGTTGATAAAGTTTCCTGGCACTAGGTGTGCAAGCTTGTTCAGACAGCATGGCTATCAAAAAACAATAATTTGCTTTCTTCCTGCAATCTGTAGTACTTGAGTTGTGAGATATTGGTATGTGTTGTCATCATTAAATCACATTAGGAGGCTAACAATTATTAGAAAGCATATATCTGTATCTACTCTATACAAGTAAGTTTGCTGGACGGTGAGCTCATTTTTTTCTACTACATGTTTTTCTATTGCAGGATATATCCACCTTGTTGTAGCAATTTTTCTCCATTAGTTGGATAAAGAAAGCTCTTTAGACAAACAGAAGAAATGGTATGTTCTCACTTACACTATAGCCAGTAATTTGACAAAATTATCCTACTACTATCTAATTTACATAGTTTCTTGACTACATCTTCATAAAAAAACATTGTTTCTTGATTACATAAAAAAACTCACTTATCTAAATAGGGGTAAAGTTGGATTATGTAAGTGGACGCTTATGTTTGAACCAAGATTAAGGTTAAGTGGACATACATTTTGAACCGGACGGAGTACCTATTTTTGTAAAAGTAGTTCAAAGCTTTCTAGATTTTCTAAGTTTGGATAGAAAGAGGAAAGAAGAAAAAGATTCTTAAGGTATTTGTTGATGAGAGGGAGGTGAAAGGGTTAACTGTTACCTGCTAGTTAAGGTGTAGTCATGTTTTTTATGCAACAGCAAGGAGGAAATGTGTAAATTCTTTTATTGAATTTCAGTTGGCGTAGTTACCTCATACACTTTCTTGTTTCTCTGTTCAGTCTGGCAGGAAAGAAACAGTTTTAGATTTGGCAAAATTTGTTGACAAGGGTGTGCAAGTCAAGCTTACTGGTGGAAGACAAGGTGCGTCATGCAATGTCTGTCATTCATTACTCATAAGAATGCTCATCCACTCAAACACACCTTCCCTTGTCAAAACAATTTATTCCTCTCTATTTGCCAGTTGTGACTTGTTTTACCTCTTTGTCATGCTCTCTTGCTGTTGCTTGTGGAGTTATGTTGTTGATACTTGATACGTCATCATATAGTCAATCTGGACTCTGGGTTGTGAGTTGCACAAATTGCAATCTTTTTCTTTTCTGCTGATTAATTCTGTCTTCACAGTGGTTGGAACACTTAAAGGCTATGACCAGCTGCTTAATCTTGTCTTAGATGAAGCCGTGGAGCACCTTAGAGGTAACAATATTATCATAGCTAAATTTCGGAGTTTAAATTGTTTTAAATGGTGGTCAGTCGAGGAAATGTATTGTTTCGTGACTCTCATGTTCTGCATTATGTTAGCGTCCACAAGTTTTGCGTGTCTGCGCTGATACTGTATATTTGTTTTATCATTTTGTTAAGTGAAAATAATCTTTTCCTTGAAATCCCTTCATTATTTTTCAGTAGAATGGAGCAGCAAATTGCTTAATTAGATACTTGCTACTCATCATTTTGTGGAATTCCATTTGTTGTACAGTTGATGATTTTAAACTTTTTTTCCATAGATGCTGATGATCCCCTGAAGACTACTGATCAGAAACGAAGTCTTGGCTTAATAGTATGTGTTCTATATATTCTCTCAAAGAACATATTCTTTTAAAGAAATATCGTAACATTGGTTCAAGAATGTATTACAGCCTATGTTGCTCGCACTCTCCATGTCAGATGTTCCAAAAGTATACTATTTTTGGAGGATACGAGATGCACTGCATTTATGAAGAGTCCGAGCAACTTAGATTGCTACTATGGTTAGGTAATGTGGAAGGTAATCATAAATTTGACCTCTTTTCTCTGCTTCTTGCCTTCCTTCCACACACAGGTCTGTAGGGGTACTGCAGTAATGCTCGTGGCTCCAACTGATGGTACAGACGAGATATCCAATCCTTTTGTTCAGCCAGACGGGGCATAGAAGAATCAAACCTTGTTATTTCGAATTTAGCTCAACTGTAATGCTGTAAACATTCTGCACCTTTGCCTTCTATTTGCTAATATTTACTGTTTCTATTAGAGAAAATGCTTCTTCTTCTAGCAAAGCTGTAACTGCTCCTGCTGCGTTTACATTTTTCTTGTTGATGTAAAGTCATATTAGTTCCCATTTCACCTGTGACAATGCCAGACATGTATCAAACATCGATTTCTGGCTTCACTATTTCTCGATTTGTGCCTGTCATTCTTGATGGATCATGTACGCTAATCTTCTCGTATTACCTGAACCCTATATTCGTCATTGTACAGGTGCTCGAGTACCACACACCTCTCATGTTTGGTACATAACTAATCGATGCATAACTTGTATTAGTATCGTGGTTGATGTCTCCGATTTCGATACCATATTGAGGTTTGTAATGATTTCAGTTAAGCTTAAACTGTTATAGTAAACATATAGTTCTATGGCTTATTATCTCAATAATTATTTTAGAATGCATATTTCTATGGTTCATCCCATTTATATCCCATACAAATCCAAATTAATCAAAAGTAAAATGTGAATAATGTCTTATCAAATTGTATTCAATTATTTTATACCATGTCCTCATAAGGAATACACCAAATACATGCAAATTAATATATGTAAATGGAGTATGATTCTGAATTATTAAATATTTAACATCACACAAATACTAAGATAATACCAAGAATATGAGTCTCCAATATAATTTCTCCAATTTATTGTCACATCAATTTCAAATGTTCTTTAAGACGTATCTCCCATTAGCTTTCGTATGTTTGCCATTGTCAAGCCTAGCAAAAGAAAAAGAGTTATTTATCGAATAGTCAGACCTCAACGCGAATATCAGATATCGATTTAGTTAGACCTTAACGCAAATATCAGATATCGTTTTATTGTCTTCCTCAATACACCTCTTTATCAATTGAAACACCTCCTCCTCCATCTTCCTCCCACTTAAAAAAAAACTATTTTCATTTTATTGGTCCTTTACTAATCCGTAAAATTCACTATCAAAGTCATTTTATTGATGTTGATGCAGCTCTATATTTTTTGTGTCGATTTCGTAAATGTAAACTTTCTTGAATTTTGAATGACCATTTTGATTTCTAGATCTATTCAAATACTTCTCATAGAATTTATAGTTTTTATCAACTTTCTTATGAAATTTTTTATTTCTTATTTAAGTTGTCAAGAAAAACTTAGACTTTCTAAAAAAAATCATTCTCCAAGAGGGTAAATTCGTGGGGCGGGTTCGAAAATGATAATGTGAATATTATAGTGAATATTTCCATTTTGAATGGTGAAGAAGAAGAAAACTAACTAGTGAAGGTTGAAATGGGGAACAACAAGGCAGAAGAAAGAGAGGGAATGGAGGGTATGCATTTATAAATTAATTAATTGATATAGTTAATTTTAAAAAGTGTTTAATAAAAAAATAATGAATAAGTGAGAAAGAACTTAATGACGTGGTACCTAGATGGTTATGATGTGACGCTTACCTGGCTATGGTGTGGCGGGTGTTAGTTTCAAGATGGAAAAAAATCACTTCGAAGATGATAAAGGGGAAATTTAAACGCACGTATAGTTTAAGTACTAATATAAGTTTTGCTTCTAAGATTTTTTTTTAATGTATTTTCTCTTTTATTTACTAACATGTCAACTGGTACCTATATCAAGTGAACAAATCAGAAACTACGTTAACTGGACACAAAGTTTAAGGAATAAATAAAACTATATTATCTCTAATAACTTAAATTTTTATAATGCGATGGATACACACTTCAATATGGTATATATCAAAGTAAGCAATACCGGTCTAGGTTTCAAGTGTCAACATCAGACCACCACATATTACTAAACAACAATATTCATGTGTTTGACCCATGAATAAAAATTAAGTCAGGACTTGAGTGAGCGTATGTGTACGTATATCAAAGATATAATAAAATGAGATGGTGGTATACTTCAATATTGTATTATAGTAGGTAGTACTCGTCCAGAGTTTATCAAGTCTTGCCTCTATCAATTATTTTCACGTAATTAGCTCATAAGAAAGAATTTAGGTCGAGAGGTGAAGGTGTATTTAAAATGTAATTGAATTTTACTCTAATATATAAAATTTTAAATCATACGGGTCATTCACTTCAACATTGTATCAAAATATATTATACTAGTCTAGGGTTGGAGTCGAACTTTCGTTCTTCATTAGAAAAGAATTTTCATGTGTTTGAGTCATGATAAAAAATGAGGTCAAAATGAAAGGAACCGTAAGTCATGTATTTCTCTGACTTAATTTTTTAAAATGAGATGGTTACATACTTCAACATTGATCATCATAGGCAATTCTAATCTTGATTTCAAGTCTCGCCCCACCAATTATTTCTAAGTGTTCGACCCATAATAGGAAATTAGGCCAAGATGAAAAGGCAAACATGTTGAAGATATAATTAGATAAATTAAAAAAAAAATGTATTTTCCCTATTATCTTAAGCATTTAAATAAGATAGTGCAATTTATAACTATGTTGAAATCTTTCTATCTCCAAAATGAATTAGGCCACATGTGAGAAATGTGCGAGTCGAAAATATTATTAAGTAATTAATTAAAAATATGTTCAGTTTAATCAGTAAACTTAATAAAAATGACACTGTCACACACTTCAATATTTTCAAAGAACACATAAAATTCCAATTGGGAACAGTAAGAATTTAAATTAAAGGTTTTAGTTAAGGCTGGGCAACAGAACGGGATGTACCGGACCGGTAATGTTCCGATTCATCCCGGTTCAGTTGCCTACAGAACGAAACAGGACATCCCAAATCGGGACACAAAATGGAACAAAATCGAGGTTTGGTACTGGTGTATCGGTACCGATTTATCGCAATTTAATTCGGTCTGGTCTGGTTCCGATTATTTAATATTTATTAATTTATTATTTATTATATATTTATTAATTAATTTATATTATACATTTATCAATTATAATTTATATTTTATATTAAATAATAAATACTACCCAAGTAACCAACTACCCCTTATTAGTATTATACATTAGTATTACATTCGAGACTTGGTTGAAACAAAACTCTTCCTAGAAGGTGGTTGCGTAAACTATGCACTCTGTTAGTAGTCGTAGATTGAAATTGTAATTTATAAGAAAAATTTTAATAAATTAAATTGATCTTTTTAATTTATGTAATTGTTTTATCTTTATTTATTTAATTTTTAAAATTATAAATTTAATTTATTTAAATTACAAGTTATAAATATTACTTATAAATTATAACATATTAATAAATAATAAGTAATAACTTATAAACTTCAAAAGATTTAAATCTTGAAAACTTAATTAGACTTAACTTGCAAACTTAATAAGTAAAAATTTTATAAAAAAATATCTTTAAAATAACTTAAGTAAAAAATTACATTGTATATTTAAAACCTATTAATTTAAACTTAGAAAAATAAAAAAATATTCATATTTTCGTAATTCTTTTAAAATCATTTTTTGAAATAACTAGATGTGCCATCCCGTTCCATTTCGATCCGTTCAGTCCATTCTGATTTTATCCCGGTATAGTGGGACGGGACGAAATCGAGTATATGTCCCGATAATTTCGGTCCGGTTCATCCCGGTACCGATCAACTCGTTCTGTTTCGATCATTGTCCAGTCTTAGTTTAAGTCATCTACGGCCCCTTAAAGTTGTCTGCATATTTCACTAAAACACCTAAACTCTAGGTTGTTCCTATTGAACACCTCTACCGTCAAAATATGTACTATAGTAAATATTTTTTAATGACATGTCATTATAAGTGTAATACAATTTGAAAGTAAGCGCGTGAAGTCTTTTTTCTGCTAACCAATAAAAAATGAACACATCAACCTATGGAAATTAATAATCTAAGCATAATTTATTTTTTTTAAAAAAAAACTCAATTGTCTTCTCCAACTCATATGCTCCCATTGAAATTCTCAATTCAAAATTACTTGAACACAAAAACATCAAAAGAATTTATTGTTAAAATTTTCATTTGAGTTGTGAAGAGAATTTCATCAAAGATAAATCAAATTGAGTAAAAAACAATTCCGACTAAACTCTGTTTTTCGATAAAACTAATACGAATCTGAAATTATTTTCTTATATAATTAAAAAAAAATAAAGGAAAAAAGGTGAAATAAGAATGATTATCGAAGTAAACACAATTTTAATTATCGATTGATGTGCGTGTCTTCAGGCAAAAAAAGGAAATAGGGAAGGATGGAAGTCGGGGTGGGTGTTGGGTGGGTTGTTCTGGCTATGAAGAAAAAAAGGAAGAAAAGTTTTTTTTGGGAGGCTGAAAACATACTTTTTATTTTATTTTAATTTCATTTCATTTTTTAAATTGTTATTATGGGACAATGTCATGTGTCTTTTTTTAATTAGGTACAATGTCACGTCAGCCGCAAGTGTATAACACATAATTTCTACTTTTAGTTGATTGTAAAAAATTGTCCAATAAGTATTTTTTTTACTAAAAAAAGTGTTCAATTGGAACAAACCTAAGATAAGGTGTTCAAATGAAATATGCGGACAACTTAAGGAGCCGCATATAACTTGACACTAAATTAAACAAATCTAATGAGAAAATAAATTAAAGATATGGTCAACATATATACATAGAACTAGACATGGTCATTCCATAAAACCCCTTTGTGAACCAACACTATCGATGGAAAGTCCTTTCACACCATATATATAATTCTTCTCTAAGTCCTTTTTTCACCAAATCCCTATTACTCTCTTTCATTTGCTTTGTCTATTATTATTTTTGCTCTCTCCCAAGGACCAACTCTCATGCTAAGAATGTCCCCCTCCCTAATCTCCCCTCCATCTTCCCCCACATCTACCCCTCATTGTGCTCGCAAAGAGGCTACACCAACTGTTGATACTGAGATCTTAGGGGTTTATGGGAGTAGCGGCCCATCCACTCAATCAATGTTCAACGATGTTGAACGATGGGGAAGGGACGTCTGATGTTTGGGCTAAAATCCCAATGTTGAACCTTTTGGAGCAGCATCAACAACAAGCGGACGCATCAACATTGAGATCGTTGACCCAAACCTTAGACGTTCGTTCCCCAACATTCAACATGTTTCCCCTCATTCTAGGAGGAATATTGACTGAGTGAATGGGTCCGCTACTCCCATAAATTCCTAAGATCTGTGGTGTAACCTTCTCGCTAACACGATGAGGGGAAAGGGAAGAGAGAGGGAAGATTGGAAGGGGGGCATTCTTAGCATGAAGTTCACCATTGGAAGAGAGCAAAAAAATAATAGAGAAAACAGATAAAATGGAGAAATGATGATTTGGTGAAATATGAATTATATATATATATATATATATATATATATATATATATATATATTGTGAAAGGTAGAGAAAATTTTAATATTTGAATCTTTTCACTTCCCACCAATAGTATTGGTTCACAAATGACTTTTATGGAATGATTATGTCTAGTTTATGTACATATGTTGATCACACCTTTAATTTATTTTCTCATGAGATTTGCTTAATTTAAATTCTTACTTTCTAATTAAAATATTATATTTTCTTTGAAAGTGTTGAAGCGTTTGACAATGTCATTAAAAATTATGTTTGAATGATTAATAACACATATTTTAATTAATTACTTAATAATTTTTTCAACTCGCACATTTCTCCTGTGGTCTGATTCTTTTTGGAGATAGAAAGATTTCAACATAGTTATAATGTTTGTCATCTCTAATACCATGAAAAAGTTTGGGTGCTTCTGGTCTTCTCCCCCCTTATAGGAAGACAAAGGGTTAAGAGTGAATTATTCATAACGTTGAGCTAAATTCATGATAAAAAGTACTGGAATTAGCACAAATATATTGGTGAGTAGCGCATAGGCAGAAAATTCTTGAAGAGTGTTCGAAATAAAGCCAATTTAAAAAAAAATGGGCCATCGGTAATTAAACCTCAATGGCAAACATAATATTTCCTTTTTCATTTAATTAAATATTTTACAACATACCACATTAAACAAAATATACAAAACATAGATGCGGTGATTCGAATTTAGGTATTGTATACATATTAGACACGTTTTTGCCACTAAGCTACAACTCACTATTGTTGCTTTAGAAGTTCAAAATGCTTAGTATATCAATATAAAGTAATATTTGACGCAATAACAGGACTAAAAGGGCTAATTTACTGTATAAAAAAATAAGCTCAAGAAGGTTATACTAGAAACAAATCACTAGGAATCATGAAAGTGATACTTAGGGAACGAAAAATACCATGGAAGATACTAGATATAATGGAAGAAGCAAAACAACTTCAAAGTTCAGCATGTATATAGGAAAATAAATAAGCTAGTAGATATCATTGCTAATAGTGCTTACAGTAAGTAGGAGGCACAAGAATACACGCAATCTGAAAAACTCTCAACTAATTGTAGAAGAATTCTAAACATGTACAAAGAACAAATCGCAAGTTTGAGAATCGAGACAAGAAAGATAAAAGACATAAACAATCAGTATAGACCACAATCAAACTAATCAAGATGTGGTGAGTCTAGCAAGATTTTTTACGTACACCTCAAGTTTTTGCTAATATTATTTGCTTAAAATCGACGAGAAATAAAGAGTTACCTGTTGTCATTTATGAGCTTACAAAAGAGGGAATCAACCAAAGTCAAGGACTATACATCCAAAGTACATCTTCCATTGTCTTAGAGAGGAAGATCGCTTCATATCTAGCAGCGGTGTTAGGTCCAGAAATCAGAATGACCTAAACCAAGATAAAAAAGAGATTAAAAACGAAAAGGAGGAGGAAGATAAGGAGGAGCAGTGCCTATTGAAGCTATTGAAGATGTGTAGTGGTATACCACCATCTGAATGTTGATGATCTAAATGAGACTACGGAGAATCAGGAAGGCGGCGCAGAAAAGAATATGAAAGAGGATGATTTGGAAACAAATGTTAGGGGAAATGTTAAAAATAGGGTAAGAAATAGAAAGGATATTGATTCATATGGGCCAACTTTCATTTTTCAAGTTGGGCCAGACCGACATATAATTTTTATATTTATGATTGAATAAACGAGTTTCGAGCCCAAATTTGATTAAAAGTAATATTTGACCTATATATTATGTTATTTTGGCGATGAGTGTCCAATCCATAGTTCTGATATGTTGATGAGATCAAGTTTAAGAAATTAATTGACAATGCAAACAAAATTAAGAGTACTATTAAAAATAGCTCAACACAATAATTATCGACTATTTAAGATGGCAATGTTAGTAATTTTTATTTTGTGCACTCACATATTAATATATTATAAGTAGATCATAAGCTATTAATAAAGCAGTCCATTGAATGATCTAATAAAGTATTAAAGATTGGAGCCTTAGAAGTAATTTTCTATTCATATGTGTTTATTTTTGTAATACCTTGGTATTTGAAAGAGTTAAAATTAGAAAGAACTAAATTGGAAATATCAATAAAATATTGTAAGTTATGCTTAAGTTGTAAGTTTTGAGTCAATTTCAATCGACCATAAATTTTAGTATAGGATGATCTAGGTGGACCATAAGATATCATGAAAGGTCTTGGAATCCTCTTTTCAATTTCACCAAGTTTGCAACATTTTGAGTTCGTATGAGGAAGATATGCCCATTTGAAGTTAATCAAAAGGAAATCACCTAAAATTATGAGGGATATTTTAGTACTTTCCTTACCTAATTAGATTAAAACAAAATTAGTAATATTTTTGGGGTAAAATTTGATTTGGGTCAGTTTTTATCATCCCAAAATACGCTTATGATTTTAGAAGAAAGTTCAAGAAGAGAAAAGAGGAGGAAAAAAAAGGAAAGGTTCAGGGCTTTCATCAAGATTTTTTGCGGATCGAGGGTTGTTTCTCCAAGGGTTTGATCCCCGAGAGGTATGTGAGTTCTTACAGTGTTGGATTCGTTAACTCACATGTCAATCATGCCTTCACTCTTGAGGTTGAAGGATTTGAGTTCTTGATGAGTTTTCTTGAAATTCCATTCGTAATCTTGATTGTTGGGGTTTTGATGAATTCTTGAGATGAGTATCAGTAATTTGAAGTTTGTTTTGAGTAAATTATCGTGTACATATGTTGGGTATTCAAATCTAAGTGTGATTATAGGCGAGTTAGGATAAAAAAAGTGAGAAAAAATTCATCGGGATAATCTGGGCAAGGGCGAGAGTGGTGTCTTTCCATTGGGTCTGGAAAGATGATCTATAGTACAGGGCTGGAGCCTTTGGCACCAGGGTCGCCCCTCCCAACCCATTCTCTATCGCTTAGCCCGTCTACATTCTTTCAAAGGGTACCTGTTACTCTTTGATTCCAACTACTCCACATTGCTTCTAAACATCTAAAATTCATTCATAACATGAATCATCATCTTGAATTTATAATTTAAATTCAAGGTAAAGTTAAGAGTCAAGTCTTGAGAGTTTGTTTGAATCCTTTGAGAAGTCTTTTGCAAACATTAAGGCGAGAAAGTTAGTTTTATTTCATACTTTAAGAAAGATTCAGCAGTGCCTAAGAGTTATTTTATTTCGTACCTTAAGACGAGAAAGTTAGTTTTCAAGTGATGCATCTATCACTTAGTTCGAGTTAATGATTCTAGTGTTGAGACACAACATTTTCAGTCAGTTCCAGTTGTGTGAGTTACCAAAAGTCTTATTAGATGATCTTCTTGAAGTCACTCCTAAGAGAAATAGGCTTTGGTATAGATATTCTTCTCGATACTCTATCTGTATTCTGCCATATACAAAAGTATACCCCTAGACTATGATTGAAATTTCAGAGACACACCTTGAATTTATTTTTTTTGATAATTTTATACACCTTTATTCTTACGTGGATAATTGGATGTCACGTAAGCCAAAAATGTGCACAAAATTACAAAAAAATAATTTCAGAAGAATAATAAGATATTAATTTAATTAAAGTGTGTCTATGAAATTTCGATCATAGTCTAGAAAAATACTTGTTCATTTTCCCTAAATTTATCAATTATATAATAAATTAACTAGTACAATAATCTATCTCAAAACTATTTAATATTATCCTTCTCACCGAATAACTATTTAATATGAATATAAAATCTAGCCACACTTTATTATTTTAAAGTCCATATATAAAAATTCATGAAATATATTGTGTTAATTTGAAAAAGACTAGACAAGATTTTATTTTATTTTATCTTAACATCACTTCACTTAAAATTGTCGGTTGCTTCTGTCAAAAAGTGGGTAACGGCGGTTAGTGTAATTTCGGTGATTTTTTTTTTTTTAAGAAAATAATTTCACCATTCTTGGAAAAATTATATATAATAGCAAACTAATAACTTAAATTAAATGAAATAGCTAGAGTTTGATTTAATTGTGCTCCATAACAAACATTAGCTAAAATTTGTCAGCATCTCTCTCCCAAAAATCTCGCTTGCCACTCTCCATTCTCGCTCGCCTCTCTCGCTTTATACACAGAAGTGTATAATTCTGTTTCTGTTTTGTATAAAGCGAGAGAAAATTGTATATACACATGCAAAAATGTATATCTTCGTGTTATACACTTAATTATACAATT